AACAGAACAGTGTTGCAAAGACGACAGTCTTGTTTTCGCGAGTACTGCATTAGTGAATGTCCAAATATCGAATGTTTTTACTTTATTCATGGCAAGCCGGCATCCTTATCGTAAAATGTTGTCTAATTCTTCGCCCAACAAGTATTTCACCACTGGGAACCCTATGGACAATCGCATCGGGAGCAACTGGAACCAGTTAACGCTGCTGCCCAACAAAAAAACTAGTATTAAAATGTAACATTGGAATGGATTATGCGACACCAACAAGTGGTATTTGCTCAAGTAAATGCGGAAATGCGAAAAAAAAAAGACATGCCAACCTAAAAAAGCCAGAATAGGTTCCATCTTTGGAGCCGTAATTGGGGGTGCTTAGCGATCTCGCGTTGAAAAGGTCCTACGTGAATGGTAAAACTTCATTTCTACTTCAATATTTCGTCACTTGATCGATGTGATGATATTTAAATATGGAACATTAATTTGAAGCCTCTCGCTACCGTCTTCCCCCGTACAGTACGCCTAGGTGTTATATTCAACTAACGAATTTGTAACTTTCATGCTCAAATTGCAGCGGGGCTGCCGTAGCTAACGTCAGAGGAAGGCGTACGACTCAAAGAGTCCCTAAAACTAAGGTTCTTATCCGAAGGAAACTTACAGCCCAAGAACCAGGGTTCAAAGTTATTACGAACACAAATAACTCTTATGCTTCAAAACCAGAAGTGTTTTATTTATTTTTATTGCAGCTAAACCTAATCAAATGCATATCGTGTGGCCCTCAGCCTATGTACTGAGGCCACTGTTAACTCTACGATTCATATACTGAGAGTCTGTTAACTCATCGGGTACTCCGTACCCATGTGTACGCCACACCCGTGTAACCCCGTTACACAAATATTCGTGTACAACACATAGCAAAATAGAACGCCTACTCAGTGTTCTCCCAGCAGGATTTGTAATTAAGGCTGTCATATACGATGATTGGCTGTCAGAGATCGTTCACAACTTTGGTTGTACCTCGCTCAGTTGCTCATTACCAAATTACCATGGTGAAAAGCAAGCATCGAAACTATACTATCAAGGAGAAGCTAGACATACTGTCCCAACATGTCAAAGGCGTCAAAGGAAAAGGCTTCTTCGCGCTTGGAAAGAAACACCAGATTGCTTCTGGTACAATTCGAGGATGGTAGGACCTCCATGACAAACTAAAGGAAGCTCTGAAAGACCGTGAAGTTACAACACGTTCTACACGAAGGCTGGGTGATGGAGGAAGTCCTGCCAAGCACGGCGATGTAGAACGTCGTCTACATGAGTGGATTCTAGATCGTAATGCCATGGGACTGCGGGTCAAAGATGCTTACATCCGACTACAAGCTGTGAACATCTACCGAGATCTCCATGGCCCGCAGGCATCGGGCTTTGATGCCTCGACGGGTTGGCTTGCACGATTTAAACGTCGGAAGAACCTCGTCTCTCGGCGTCAGACGACTACACAAATCCTACCTGATAATTCTGGAGAGATTTGTCGTAATTTCATTCAGCGTGTTCAACAGCTCATCCACCTACACAATATTAAGCTGGATAAAATCATTAACATGGACCAAGTACCAAGGTACTTTAAAACGGAGCCTAAGACGACCATCACGACTCGGGGATCACGTGAGGTGCTACTAAAAAGGGAGGAACAAGTCACAAGCGATTCACCGCTACATTTGCTATTACGGCATCTGGTACTATTCTCAAGCCCCATCTTCTTTTTTCGAAACTGAAGAACCGCCCGAAGTGTCCTGATG